GAACCAAGCAAACCTAATAGACAAAAAAAAAAAAAAAAAGAAGAATGGTGATATTAACAAATGTGTTTTTTTAATGTATAATGGTATGCGTCAACATTTGGAAGACTATATTATTCACTGAACAAATATTTTCCAAATGGATGAGGCATACCGTCAAATGTCTTATTTGGCATGTCTTATTTTGCATTTGACAAATGAATGAAAGATCCATTCAAAGTGCAAATGGGCCAATGGATGTAATGGAGTATGAAAAGGCAGTGAGACTGTAAATTTGAATTAGTAATTTGAAAGTAATTAACACTCCTAAACATTTTTATTGAGGAAGATGACTAAAACTTTTTTAGGAGTTTTACAAGTTTAAACCTTTTGATCAGTTTCTCTTCTATGGAAAACCAACTAGCATCTAAACAAGCACCTACACTGGTACCTAAAAAAACCTGACACATATAGGAAAAACCCTGCCTCAGTAACTCTATTAAGTTATCATGAATTAAGCATCTAAACATTAATCTTAATACTCTAGAAAAGAGATTACCACATGATCTGTTAACAGAAAGCTTGTCTTTTGAAAACACACATGGAACCCTAACATAAATGACAAAGCATAAGTAGGTCTCATGGAATCAATGCTTAGCTTCCTTATCCCCCAAACCTCTCTCTCATTGCACATGCACATGAGACGGCTTATGAAAAGCCAATGACCTAGGCCACTGGTTTCTAAACTTGGCTGTGCTAAAATCAGAAACAATACCATTAGCTTTTTAGTAATAGATTCACAGGCTGCCTATCACACCAAAGTAAATCAGAATCTCTCTGGTTACAATCTAGCATTCCACATTATTTAAAAGGTCCCCAGTGGCCAGGCTCAGTGGCTCATGCCTATAATCCCAGCACTTTGAGGTCAGGAGTTTGAGAGCAGCCTGATCAACATGGCAAAACCTGGTCTCTACTAAAAATGCAAAAATTAGCTGGGTGTGGTGGTGAACACTTATAATCCCAGATACTCAGGAGCCTGAGGCAGGAGAATCACTTGAACCCAGGAAGTGAAGGCAGCAGTGAGCTGTCGCTCAGCCTGGGCAACAGAGGGAGAATCACTTGAGCCCAGGAAGTGAAGGCTGCAGTGAGCTGTCGCTCAGCCTGGGCGACAGAGGGAGAATGCATCTCTAAAAAAATAAAACAGTTTGAGGGCAGACACAGTGGGTGGCTCAAGCTGGTAATCCCAGCACTTTGGGAGGCCAAGGCAGGAAGATTACCTGAGGTCAGGAGTTCGAGACCAGCCTGGCCAACATAGTGAGCCCCATCTCTATTTAAAATACAAAAATTAGCCAGGCGTGATGGCGTGTACCTGTAATTCCAGCTACTACAGAGGCTGAGACAGGAGAATCACTTGAACCTGGGAGCGGAGGTTGCAGTGAGCTGAGACTGCATCACTGCATTCCAGCCTATACAACAGAGCAAGAGACTCTCTCTCTCTCTCTCTCTCTCTCTCTCTCTCTCTCTCTCTCTCACACACACACACACACACACACACACACACACACACACACACAAAGGGCCTTCAGATTTCTGAAGCTGCCCTTGGGAGTTCACATTCTAACAGGTAATATCCCCAGTATCATTTATCAAAACGCAGCTCACTTAACAGTAAGAAGCTCCAGATGTGGAAATGAGAACCACTTTGAGCTATGTCACTCACTAACAAAGTGATCTTCAACATCTCTCCCATCAGTTTCTTCATCTGTGAATGGTAGAAAATACAAAAGAAAGAGGGAGAGGGCATTCATGAAAACTAAGTAAGATGTTGAATGTAAAAGTCTTACGCAGTGCCTGGCAAGGTTACACAATGAAAATGTGTTCATATATTAGGGGGGACAGGAAGGATTAGATGAACTTAGCATCTGACGTAAGAGATGAATTAAAAACTATGTTTTTGATTTGAACCAGAAGACCTATTAGATGTGCCCTATTAGGGCAGTTAGACAGTATCTAGCATTTCAAAAGAAACAGGTGAACTTCAGGATAGTAACTACCTTTGAAACTGTGCAATCCTGTCAGGCTCTTAAGCTGTGGATCACCACTAGGTCAGAGCCAAAGGTATTAGCCATAGCTAAGATGGAGATCACTAATATTATAACAGTAATCATTCATATTCAATTAAAGTTTCTTGTTTTGATTCCACGCCCATAAAACAAATTTTTCAATTCATAATTTGGCTTTTTAAACAATTTTTTCCCCTAGATCAGTGTCTCAACTATCCTGTTCAAAGCAATATTTCTCACTATAACTTAAGTTCTACAGAAAATCAAGCCAAGTCCCAAGACATCTACTGTTTGTAATGATTAACTTATCTCCCAGGCATTTAAAATGATACTAACGGCACATTATCCTGGAGTAAACTGAGGACACACTATCTTTGGGAGGACTGAGAAAAATACTCCCTAAAATTCTTTTCTGTAGGCTTAATTCTCTCCATGGTGAAAATGGCTGCATGAATTAACATTCCAGTTTACAAGGCTTTTGTGAACTTAGTTACAAATTATTAGTCCAATGGTCTCTAAGTTCAATGATAAGACACAGTTGACTTCACTAACATATCTCATCACATGTTCTACAGAATAACTACACTTTAGTGTCACACAGGTGACAGACCTCTGCCCTAAAACTTCATGTATAAGTAATTTATACTTTATTTATACTAAAAAGGCAACAATCTACTTAATATAGTGCCATTTCAAAAATTTTAACTTAATTCAAAATTGTATTTTATATTTAATATTTTATTTTATTAATATTTATTAATTTATTAATTAATTTAATTTATTAATAGTTTATATTTAATATATTCATCGGAAATATTAAATTCTATTTTGAAATCTCATAAAATCTTTCTAAAATCTATCCCAAAGAAATAAAATTTCAAGGGGCTTACAGATTTTAGATCAGGATAAAGGCAAATTTAGAGCAAAGCAGCTGAATTAAAATCCAATCAAAATCTTGAAAAAATACCCCATTAACAGAAACTTCTGTAGATTTTTTTCAGTTTCCAATTTAATATCTTACTAAAATCTTACTGAGCATCTTACTTTATTACTGAAAAAAATGACATCCCTCTCCTAACTCAGCAATTATACTTTTTTAATAAAAGCACGTTTCATGTTTATTCAAAGAGAAAATTTCAGAAACATTTAGCTTTTCTATTATTATAAAGCTTTCATAATCTAATACTGAGATGGATCATTAAGAAAGGGAGAGAGGTGGAGCCACGCAACCATAAGTCCAAGATTAAAATGGCTCTATAGAGAACAATAAAGTTGGTAGTACAAATTCCCCAGAGACTGCAGTCTACTAATGGCAATACTTAAAACAAAATTTTAGAAAATTGAAATTTAAAATCAAGAGAACAAGAGTGTGAAATTGGTAATGATAAAAGGAGAGATGAGATTTAAAGTAACTTGACTAAACCACCACAAAGAAGTCTTACAAGTGAATCTAAATGAAGCAAAGTAGGTTAAAGAAGTTTCAGGATTTTGAGAATAAATACATATTATTTATTCCTGAGGTATAAAACAGAAATCTCATATGTGGTTTCCAAATTAAAAGTTTATACATAGCTTTATATTGTCATAGGAGTTATTAAGAAATTACTGTAGGCAGATAAGAGAGGAAGAGGGGTCCTTGGGAAGTTTGCATTTTTTAAAGCATCTCCAGAAAATTTTCTTGTAAAGCCCCAGCTGTTACAAGAAATAGAAATGCTTTTACACTATGGTGAGAGTGTAAATTAGTTCAGCCATTGTGGAAGACAGTGTGGTGATTCCTCAAGGATCAAAATACCATTTGACCCAGAAATCCCATTACTCAATATATACCCAAAGGATTATAAATCATTCTATTATAAAGACACAAGTACATGTATGTTTATTGCAGCACTGTTCACAATAGCAAAGACTTGGAACCAATCCAAATTCCCATCAATGATGACTGGATAAAGAAAATGTGGCACATATACACCATTGAATACTATGCAATCACAAAATGGATGAGTTCATATCCTTTGCAGGGACATAGATAAAGCTGGAAACCATCATTCTCAGCAAACTGACACCAAGAACAGAAAACCAAACACCGCATGTTCTCACTCATAAGTGGGTGTTGAACAATGAGAACACATGGACACAGAGAGGGGAACATCACACACATGGGCCTATCAGTGGGTGGAGGGCTGGGGGGATAGCATAGCCCTATCCCCCTGTCAGTGGGAGAGGGCAGGGGTTAGGGGAGGGACAGCATTAGGAGAAATACCTAATGCAGATGGCAGGGAAATGGATGCAGCAAACCACCATGGCATATGTATACTTATGTAACAAACCTGCACGTTCTGCACATGTACCCCAGAACTTAAAGTATAATTTAAAAAAATTTTTTTTAAACAACAACAACAGAAAAGAGCCAGGCTGGCAACCTTTGATATGCAAATGCAAGCCATTAGAAACTGGGTCCACCCAAACATGGCGATTCCTGCCCTCTTCTTCTTGCCCTTGCCCCACATACTCCTGGCAACATGGCTGCCCCTACATATCTTCACCTGTTTAGCACATCATGGCACCCTGTATTTGCATATTAAAAGGCTAGGGTGGGAAGGCCAGTTTTTATTTTGGAGGCTATATGAATGACATACCTGGTCAAGCCAATCCCCCGAGCCCTCTGCAAATCAAACCACCTCCTTCTACCCTCTTCATATACCTGGCTGGTATTCATGGCAAGTGGGGCTCCCTCCCTTGGCTTTGGAGTCCCCTCCCTCTATCTCTGTACAGGGGAGCTTCTTCCTTCTTTCTTCCCACTTCTTTCTTGCCTGTTAAACTCCCTGCTCCTTAAAACAACTCCACGTGTATCCGTGTTGTTTTTCCTAATTCAACTGGAGAGGAAGAACCTGGGATTCTCCACTCATCAAGTAGTATTTTGTTTAGAAGCCCAAATGAAAAAAGAAACTGAAAGATACTTACTATAGTATCCATATAATACAGTGTCCTCAATCTGTCTGCTGACATTAGCATTAGCCCAGTCCTAGAATAAAGGAAACAACAGAAATATTAATGAAACATACATCTGCCTAACAATTAGAGTTAGGTTTTAATATGACTGAATATCACTTCCAAAATCTATCCACTCAAATAAAAACAATCTATGTCTTCAACAACTGAGAGACAGACAATAGACAATTTCAACATGTAAATGCTGAGACAAGACAACACAGTTCTCGGAAAACGCAAAGACAAAAGGCACCTAACTCAGACTGAAAATCAGGAAGGGCTTCTCAAAAATGACTAAACTGAGACCTGAAAGGAAGGAGAATGATCTCAGCGAAACAGAGAAAACAGTAGGAAGGAAAGAAGGGAGAAAAGAACATAGACAGAACATTTGAAAAATACTTCAAGAAGCTAAATACAGATTCGATTGAGCTTTTGGAAAGGTTAAGAGAAAGCAGGTGGAGAGAGGGAGGAGAAGGACATATATGACAGAGACTTGTGAGTCATGCTGAGTATTTTGGTCTTTGTCCTAAGAGCAAGGAAAAATAGTGATAAATTTTATGCAGAGAGTAGCAAACCTGATTTGTACTTCAGAAAGAACATATTTGAGCATATTATACATTTTTTTAAAAATCTACATGAAAAATCAGTGTAATCCTTGCATTCATCCCATACAAGTGTTGTTCAAATTACTAAACGTAGAAAATTAATTCAAATTAATCTTTTCCAACAGAAAAAATATCTATACACTACTGTGTCAGAACTGAGGTATGATGTTAAGTATTTTGGCCTATACCCTAAATTCTATGCATGTGAAAAATTATACCTGGAGAGTCTAAAGGACTTATCACTCTATTAAGTAGAAAGGCACAATTTAGAATCCAGGTCAATTTTTTATCAACATTTTAAGAGGTCAAGTCAGTGTCAACATTCTACAAGTGCTCTTAAAAAAGGATATCTTAGATAATTTAGGATTTTTCTTTTCGTTTCTCCTTTTTTGCCCATAAGCACCTCTAGCAATGAGTAGCTATAAAATTCTTGCTGATAAATGCCTACAAGATAAAAAATGTAGAAAATCCAAACTTACTTCTACAAAGGCAAACCCTTGATACCCAAAGCACAATAAAAACAGTAAGTTTCTAATAGTAATTAGGAATAGTAACAAACCCTTAATATGTCAAATAGAAAAAGAGTTCAATACCAGCCTGACAAACATGGTGAAACCCCCTCTTCACTAAAAATACAAAAAATTAGGCGGGCATGGTGGTGCATGCCTGTAATTCCAGCTACTCGGGAGGCTGAGGCAGGAGAATTATTTAAACCTAGGAGGCGAAGGTTGCAGTGAGCTGAGATCACACCGCTGTGCCCCAGCCTGGATGACACAGCAAGATTCCATCTCAAAAAAATAAAAAATAAAATAAAAATAAATCACATAATATTAAAAAAATTTAATAAATAGAAAGTCACCCGTTCCCACATGAAAAGACTGTAAATACCAACTGCCATCCAAATTAATCTTAAAATTAATATATATCATCAATCGACATCCCATTGTGCTAGGAGGTGGAGAATATCAACATATTGATTTTAAAGATTATCTGAAAAAACAGACTAGGGCCAGAAATAAATTTGAAAAAGACTAACAAGGAGGAATTTCCCAATTACTATACCTTACTAATAAAACATGAAAATCTACTATTATTTAACTTTCACTTACCTATTGGCAAAATTTAAAACAGTAACATCCAGTAGTGTCAAAATATGGAGGAAAAGACATTTGCCAAACAGTAAGACAGTCTACCATGTAGACATTCTTTTCACACAAATTAGGATGGATATTAGTACATAGATATTTTATTCATTGGACAATACTACTTGTCCAACAAATTACCTCAGGATCTTTTAGGAAACTATAAGCTAGCCCAAATGGGCCTTTCCTTTCCCACACAGGAGGAGCTGTACCAAATTCCATTACTCATGGGACTAGAGACCCAAAATCTCCAGGTGTTCAGCAATTGGTATGTCCTAGTACTCAGTGAACAACTTGTACCTACTCAGCTCATATTACTTGGCACCCAAGACCAAGGTATTTATTCTACCTGCAAGACCATTCTTCTTGCCATATAAGAAGAGAGAAGAGGCCAGGTGCAGTGGCTCATGTCTATAATCCCAGCACTCTAGGAGACAGGAATTGCTTGAGGTCAGGAGTTTGAGACTATGCGTGGTAGCACACACCTGTAATCCCAGCTTCTTGGGAAGCTGAGGAATGAGAATTGCTTTAACCTGGGAGGCAGAGGCTGCAGCCAGCCAAGATGATGCCACTACAGTCCAGCCTAAGCAACAGAGCAATACTGTGTCTCAAGAAAAAGGAGAAAGAGAGAGAGAGAGAGAATGACTGGGAGGTTATATACCTCCGCTAAAGCACCTGCTTGCACTTTGGGAGAGTTTCTGTCAAATTACATAAGAACCTGAGCACTTATGGACCCTTGTCAGGGCAAATTAGAGCCTGTACCAAGTAGCATTTATTGTTTTTTGCCCAAGAGTCCTTTATCCAACAATATTCAGTGTAGGATTGTTTAAAATATTTTTAAAAGAAAAATGAAACTGGAGACAATCTAAATGCCAGAGTAGAAACAGTAAAATTTACCACTGTACATGCATAACATAGAATAACGTTGACGTTAAAAACAATGGGACCTACAGAAACCAGCATAGAAACTAGATATCCATGAAGTTCTTTTGAGTAGGGGTAAACAAAACAAATCACAACCAAAAGTTTTAACACATAGAATCTTTGTCTTAAAAAAATGTAATGAAAGAAAATACCCAAAGTTATTATAGAAAATAAATGAAAAGAAAATGTAAGTAGTGCTTACCACATAGAATGGAAAAGCACTGGGGAGAAATCTATGCAATGATTGAAAATTTTTTCATCAATGATTCAATTATCCGAATGAATATGTACATAATCAAAGCTTCAATTCCTAAGAGCTGTGCTTCTTCAGTGATTACTTCTGTATCCAAAGAGGAGTTTAAAAGGATTTTTGTAAGCTTTGTTTTGAGATAGGGTCTCACTCTGTCACCTAGGCTGCAAATGCAGTGGCATGATCATGGCTCACTGCAGCCTAGACCTTCCCAGGCTCAGGTGATCCTCCCACATTCAGGCTTCAGAGCAGCTGGAACCATAGGTGTGTGCCACCATGTCCAGCTAATTTTTGTATTTTTTGTAGAGACTAGGTTTCACTACATTGCCCAGGCTGTTCTTGAACTCCTGGGCTCAGGTGATCTCCCTGCCTCAGCCTCCAGGTTTATAGGTGCAAGCCACCATGCCTGGCCTAAAAGGAATTTGAAGATGAGTAAATTAAGAACAATCTATCAATGGGCCAGGGAATAATGATGACTATCTTTTCTTACTTCTTACATGTTATGCAAACTTCCCATCAATTTCCAAAACAGCCCCAGGAGGTAGTAATGTCTCCACTGAGAATCACTTAAAAATTAGTTTAAAATTGGACAAAATTCCAATCTCAAAAAAATATATATTAAAAATAGAAAGTCTGAAGGTTAACTTGAAGCAAAAGAATCATTAAAATTTAGCATCTTTTACTCTATAAGGATCTCTTGCCTAACCAGTTCTTGTGGCAACAAGAGTATTGCTGTTACTATTTTAAAGCTACAAATATGTGTAAAATATACAACATCACTCAAGTACTATTAGTGTATTTGGCTTTTACGTACTTTCTTGCCTCCAAGATACTTGATGTATTGTCAAGAGAGCTTAGTTTGTAAAACTTTCCTTCTAATTTTGGGAACCACTATGACCTTAATACGTTTTATAAACTATTGCCTCTCAAAGTAGAAACTAAAAGGAACTTCAGAGTCATTTAGGACAAAAAGGAATGTGAGACAATCAAGAACTAAATAAAGAATATTAAAGAAGAATATTTCAGAAGACAAGGATATGAATTCCACAGAACAAAAATGTAATTAGTGGCATATGTAAATTCCATTCCCCATTATTCAAGTTGACTTTTGAAACCTGCTGCATAACCCAAAACTCCCACATGATTCTCCTCACTTTTGCCTGATAATGTCATCTTAGAACAGTGGTTCTCATTCAGAAGCCATTTTGAACCGCATGGGGCATTTGACAATGTCCAGAGACATGGTGGGCAGAGTCAGTATCCTACAGGGATCTAGGAGGTAAGAGGTCAAGGACGCCACTAAATACCTACAATTCTCAGGGCAGGCCCCCATAACAAAGAATTATCCAAGGCAAAAATGTCCAGGATTGAGAAATACTGACTTAGAGGTCTCTAAAATAATTTGCATCACCAAGCCAGGAGCTCACTCAACTTATTATTAAATCTAAAACCTGCTTCCATTTGTATCCAAATGCTAGACCTTCTTTCCTCTGAAGTGCCCATACTCCTATTACACCCAAACATCTGTCTTTGAGAACCCTCACCCTTCTGGAGGACACTGCACCTGCAATGATACCTTCTCTTCCCTCAAAAATTTCTTTCACTCTACTAAATTCTAAAGTATACAAAATCTAGTAATTATCAAACACAAAGAGATACACAACCACTATAAATAAAAACACCTCCATTAACTCCTCTTCTCACTTTCATAGTGAATAAAAACTTCTTGAAAAGTTGTCAGCATTCCCTATCACTTCTTCCTTGCTTCTCTGTCCACATCTAACCCACTCAACCTAATCACCCTACTGTTCTGCTGAAATTATCCTTCATGGTCACCACTGATGAAAACCACTAGTCACTTCTCTACCCCACTCACTTCACCTCTCAGCATTACTGGAAAAAGCTATCGATATTCTTTCTTCCTGAAACACATTCTTCTGACTTCCACAAAGCCCCGTCTTGTGTTTTTCTCATCTCTCAGGTTGCAGATTCTCCCTTCATCTGACCTCTACACGATAGAGAACTCCAGTCCTTGGTCCGATGTCAAGGCTTGTCTGACTACTCCATCTTCCCAGCTCCTAGTCAGTCCATAGCTGTAGTTATCATCCATATG